CTCTGTTTGGCAGGTCCGGCTTCCTCCAGGTAGCGGAGGGCGAAAGAGCCCAGCAAAGAGACTACGCTCCCCGGGCCTCCATCACCCGGCGCCGCCGCCGCCACCTCCGCGCCCGCAGCCACACCCCGGAGCTAGAACCCACAAGTCCGGTCCAGTAGGTGAGTCTCACATGCCCCACGGACACAGCCTTAGCTTTCAGGCTGTGCTGGCACCGGCACCCAGCAGGGCGTGGATCTACAGGTGCCAATTCCACTGGGCCCAGACCCGGGACACAAGGGAAGAGGGGCAGCCCCAAACACCCCAAAGCGGGACTGCAGCCTCGCGCTCCGCCTCTGCGCCCGTCCAGTAACCAACCTCTCCTCCCCACCGGTGATAAGCCCTCGGCCCCGCGGACTCCCGACCCGACCCGAGGCCCTGGCACCGGCCCTGGCACCGGCACCGGCCCTGGGGCAGAGCCGGGAGAGTTAACCCCAACTGCCTCCCCGCGGTTCCGGGGGTCAGGTCGCCGGGAGCGCCTCCCATTGGCCGCGGAGCCGGCGCGGCGCTGATTGGCTGGGGCTCTCCCAGGCTCCCCATTGGACGCTGCGCGCCGCGACTGGAGGTGGCGGTCCCGCCTCTGCAGGTTACGGGGCGAAGCGGCTGCGACTCTCGCAGCTCCCGGGGGTCGCTCAGCCCCGGCCTGAGTCCCGACTTACTTCCTCGATCCAGATCTCGTGGCTCTCCCGGGACGTCAGCGGATCTCCTCCCGGATCCTTTTCCTCCATAACCTGCTGGGGTTATTTTTCTTCCTCCCCGGCTTCCAGCTCCCAGCCCCGCGTTTCCCTTCCCTGCTCCCCGGCCCCCAGTAGCCTGCCGTTCTCAGCATCCCACCTGCCATCGTCCTATCCCCCTGGCTTCTGCCCCTTCTTGATCTCAACTCCTTTGACCAACTGAGCCCTATCATAACCTTCTCGCCAAACTCTCCTAAACTCCTCTTTCTTCTCTCTTTGCCAGCTCCTGACTTCCAAATTCCAGCTATCCTTTCACCTGACATTTGACCCTGACACTTGGCTCCAGAACGCGACATTCCTACCTCCTGCAGCCTGTTGAAACTGAGGTCTTTCCTGATTTCTGACCTCGTGTCTGAAGCTCGTTTTGACTTTCTTTCTCCTGGGCCAGTTCTTGCTACCACTGCCCCACCATGGACTTCTTGATGAGTGGCCTGGCAGCCTGCGGGGCCTGTTTGTTCACCAACCCCCTGGAGGTGGTGAAGACGAGGATGCAGTTACAGGGAGAACTGCAGGCCCCCGGCTCCTACCAGCGGCACTACAGAAACGTCTTCCATGCCTTCATCACCATCGGCAAGGTGGACGGCCTGGCTGCCCTGCAGAAGGGCCTGGCCCCTGCCCTCCTGTACCAGTTCCTGATGAATGGCATCCGGCTGGGCACCTATGGGCTGGCTGAGGCTAAGGGCTACCTGCACTCAGCTGAAGGCACCCACAGTCCTATCCGAAGCGCAGCAGCTGGGGCGCTGGCTGGGGTCCTGGGAGCCTACTTGGGGAGCCCTATCTACATGGTGAGAAGAAGGGTCTTGCCTGGGGCCTTCAAGGCAGACATTTGGTGTAGGGTGGGGACCTGGGTCTTCCTTCATAATCTGATACTAAGGTTGGAAGTGGACTTGTGTAGGGGAGGGTGAGGAATTTGAGTAACGTACCTCAGTAAGTGTGAGGACCAGGGGAAGTCCTGGATATCACAGAATTACAGTCTCACAGTCGGCCCCTTCGAGCCATCTGGTATAAGTGAAGGGTCTGTAGCCTGAGGCCCAGAGAAGGGAGGTGACCAGCTCCAGGTCACACAGCTGCTTATTGCCAGGACTAGGTCCTGCTTTGTGCTCCTCCTGGAAAGACTGAAAGGCAGGGTATGAGATTCAGGACAGTGGCCTCTCCAAAGTAAGGTGAGCACATGCCCCCATGAGGCTTTGGGGTCAGAGAGCAAGTTTTGTTCATGATCTCCCAACCTACCGCAGAGTCTGATGGGGAAGCCTGGTCGTGCTGGTAGCTGGAGATCCAGTTTGGGAAATGGAGCTGGCATGACAGACTAGACTCCCCAAGATGAATAATATTAGGAAATATTGCCATTCTTCAACTTCTCCATTTCCCCTCCACCCCCGGCCCACAAGGGAAGGAAGAAGTAGAGGGGTGGAGTGTCTGTGGTGCTAGGAGATCCATCACCCCAGGGGACTGGAGCCAAGAGATAGAATCTCATGACCAATTTGTTAAAGGAAAACAACAATAATTATCAGGTCAAAAGGATATTCATTGTTGAACACCCCCAGTGGTTCTCAACCTTCCTAATGCCGTGACCCTTTAATATAGTTCCTCATGTTATGGTGACCCCCAACCATAAAATTATTTCGCTGCTACTTCATAACTGTAATGTTGCTACTGTTATGAATCATAATGTAAATATCTGATATGCAGAATGTATTTTCATTGTTCGTGACCCACAGGTTGAGAACCGCCGCGAGGAAGTGTGAGGGGTTCAGGCGCTTGGGTCTCTGGGGTGAAAGAATGGTCACTGGGCCATAGGTTGTGATACTCTCTCGTCCCCAGGTGAAGACACACCTACAAGCACAGGCAGCCTCAGAAATTGCCGTAGGGCACCAGTATAAGCATCAGGTAAGATGTTCCCAACACCGCTGGAGTCTCTGCCATTCTCTCCCATCGGCCCCCAGCTTTCTGTCTGCACCCAACAACTCCAACCCAGCCAAGGCTCTGCTCAGCCAATCAGTTCAGCCTCACTCTGCCCCTAATGTCCACCCAGGCCCTCTTTCCCACACGCTCCCCAGCTCCTCTAGTCCTCTGCACCTGTTTCTCCTGCCCTGTTCTCCTGGTCTGCTAATGTCCTCACTTCCATACGCCCTAGTCTGGGATGGCAAGGGAGGGAGCAATGAGGTGGTAGACAATGGAAGGGCCACATTCTGGTGTTAAGCTCACACACAACTGGTTGTCCAGATATCAGATGCCTGTTAAGGACCCATCCTTAGCAGTGTTAGGAGATGGCAGCCCCTGATGCCAGGGTGACTAAACCCCACCTCATGATCTTCCCCCTCCCAGGGCATGTTTCAGGCGCTAACCGAGATTGGCCAGAAACATGGTCTGGTGGGGTTGTGGCGTGGGGCCGTGGGCGGCCTTCCCCGAGTTATCGCCGGTTCCTCCACCCAGCTGTGCACCTTCTCATCCACCAAGGACCTTATTACCCAGTGGGAGGTACTGCCTGGGAAATGGGTGGGGCCGCCCTGGGAAATGTGGGCAGGGGGGAGTACAAGCTGAACTGAGCCCTAGAGGGGTGAGGGAGTGGCAGGATGGCTTGGGGGTCAGCTGCTACACCAAGCATGTCAAACTCAAAGGCCAACAGGCCAAATAAACAAGATGTAAGTTTATGTGGGCCACAAAAAAAACCCCCAAAGCTTCAATTTTCATAGAAACATAGGTTTATTTCGATAGAGACATGCTGAATACAAAGGGCTGAAATAAATGAGTCATCGTTAACATAAAATAATAGAACATTTTAATAAAAATTAATATTTTCTTGAACATTAACTTACCACTGAATAACTGCACAAATAAGCAAATAAACCTATTTTTCTCATTCTCTGAAAGCGAAATATTTCCTGTTGCGCACACCAAACAAGTTAGCCCAAGACTAATGACATGGCCATCGGCTGCTAAAATAACCGCTGCTAGTATTAGTGGAGAGAAATGGTGCGCTGTGCGTAAGGCGTGTAAGAAAATGAATGCGACACGATGATAGTAATGTCATTAGCGAATGTTGTTCGTTATAATTATGTATAACAGGATATTGTAAAAATTAAGTTATGAATTTTTTATTAAAATGTTTCTTACATATCGTTATATTGGCTGGGCTGCAAAAATATTCATTGTGGGCCGCGAGTTTGACATGCTTGTGCTATACCCTTCCCACAGCTTTTGTCACTTCCTCTCAGGTGTACCTGAGCCTTCACAGTGTTATCACACTGTATTAACTGATAGAGTGGAAGCTCCCAGAGTTACCAGCTCTACTGTATTCCCAGAGCAGGGCCTGTCCTTTCCTAGGAGTTGAATGATTGACTGACTGACTGACAAAGCTCTTCCTCCCTCCCTTTAGATATTTCCTCCCCAGAGCTGGAAGGTGGCTCTGGCAGCTGCCATGGTGAGTGGCATTGCGGTGGTCCTGGCCATGACACCCTTTGATGTGGTGAGCACAAGGCTCTACAACCAGCCCACAGACACTCAGGGCAAGGTAAGGGAGTGCTCTGTGGTTCAGGCAGGGAAAACTGCAGGGGGCGGGGGGGAGGAGCAGATTGCAGAGCCAAGTGGGACAGCCTAAAAGGTAGCCTGCAGAGGTGAGACCCCTGCTGGGCTCTGACAGGCTCCTTCCCTGTTCTCTCCCTCCTTCTCCAACCTGCTCTCAGGGCCTCATGTACCGAGGAGTGCTGGACGCTCTGCTGCAGACGGCTCGGACAGAGGGCATTTTTGGCATGTACAAGGGTATTGGAGCCTCCTACTTTCGCCTTGGCCCTCACACCATCCTCTCCCTCTTCTTCTGGGACCAGCTTCGCTTCCTCTACAACACGTACACCAAATAACAGCCACTCCCCCTCACTCCACCAAGTTGGTACTCCTTGGACACTTTTGCCTCCATTACTATGTCCTGGTGACTTCTTACCAGGCGACCTCCTAACCATCAGAGGGGGACAGCCAATCCCACTCCCTATCTGTTTTCTCAGGGTTGAATCACTACAAGAGATAGTTTCCCTCCCTTCCGTGGCTGTCTCTTTAAACTTTCTCTACCTGTCCCCCTGTACACTTCACTCCAAAGTTTATGCCCCCCCCCCCTTTCTTCACTGCCAGCCTTGGGTCCCTTCTGATCACATGTACAACTTTAAAATCCCCCTCCAAGACCAAAGGGAATTGGGGGGACCCAGGTGTCCTGTTAGATTCAAAGGCACAGAGATTATATTGGTTATAAAGCAAGTTTATTTCTGCAGAGAGGTGTCTTATGTTTATCCACAGGGAAGGAATTTGGGGAATATATCCCACCCTTTGTTCCCCTTGCAGATTGGGGTCCCCAAGTCTTCAGCGGCATCATGTAGCATTTCAGCATCTTTACTGGGGACCAAAGATGTTGGGATCATGAAGAGTCAGACTGGTCACCAGCTGTTCGAAGTCACCCAGGCTCCAGGGTGGAAGTGACAGATTTTCAGGGTCAAGAGATGACCTATTGTCAGGGCTTGGGAGCGGGGGAACAGACGGGGAGAGAACATCATCCAGGCCTCATGTGTGGAAGTTACCCTCTTCTGTTCCTGGGACGACCTGGGTATCTGTGACCCCAAAACTCTGGCCCACTCCCACTTCCTTGGAGGACCCCGCTAGCCCGCTTCACTGCTCTGCCCCTCCCAGCCCATGCTCCTGGGGACACCCCCCCCCCCCCCTTGAGCCATGTGCCCTCTCTGTCCTCCTTACGGGGGCTGATTGAAGGTGAGCAGGAGATCAGTCTGGTATGGAGTCAGCCTCAGCAAGGCCTGGTGCAGGGTCACGTCCTTCGCTACCTAAAGGGATCGGTGTCAGGATGTTCGAGGGCCCACCTCTTCGCCCCTCCGGGCCATCTCACTCGCCCTTACCTGCTGGTTCTCTTTAGCCACCTGCTGCTTGCCCGAGAGGACCCAGGCTTCTTCACAGCAGCCCCTCAGGGCCAGGTTCTCCAAGAGGAGGGGCTGCACAGCCTCCACTTGAACAGTCCTAGCGCCCTGCACCCCACCAACGTCCTCAAAGTGGTACCTGGAGTGGGGAGGGACAGGGTCAGGAAGGGGCACCTCCCACCGTCGCCCCACAAGCATTTTGACGTCTAGGCTTCGCTCACTGCGTGACACGAGTTCTCGTCGCCCAGGGAACCGTCCCGCGCAGGCCCCGCCCACTCCGGGCCCGGCCCTCCCATTGGCCAGCCACGGCCGGCCCCGCTCACCGCGCGGCCTCCTCTCCCCGCACGTGGGCCTGCAGCTCCAGAAGCTCCACGATCAGGCTCTGGTCCGTCACGCGGTGGCAAAAAACTTCCTGGTTGTCCGGGACCGGTCGGAGGTCGCTGGAGAGAGGCGAGGCAGGCACCGGTTGACCCCGGTTCCTCTCCGCAGCCCCACCCGGTCGGCTTCCATCCGCGCGGGGGCGTTTCTCACCTCACGTCAATGGCCCCGGGAGGGAGCGTGGCGGAGAAGGCGCCCCCGAACAGTGGGTAATCTTGCGTGGGCTCCATGGGCCAGGGACTAGGGAGATTTAAAGAGAAATCGACACGGGGCCACGTGGCGTCCCGCCCCGCGTCCCGCCGCAGCCCCCGCCCTCACCGGGCTGCCTCGGCTCCGGCCCTTTAAGATGCGGCCCCGCCCCTGCGATCGCGCCGGCCAGTGGGCGCCCGCGCCTCCGCCGCGGCCCGTGGGGCGCTCCCAGAAGCTCGGTCCCTCGGCGGGCTCGGGCGGGGCCGCCTGGGAGTGAGACCCGGTCTTGGGTTTGTGACGTCCGGTGGCGGCTAACTCGCGCCCGCCCGTCTCCTCCTCTTAAAGGGGCCGCACGGTCTAAGAATGTCGCTGAGACCCTCCGGAGGGGTCGTTGCTCGTCCGAGTGACCGGCGTCTGGGTCCGGGGAGACTGTTCTCCGCCAGCCAGGCCCCTCCAAAGGCCTGTGGACAGCGAAGGAGCCGCCAGATCGCTAATTCCCGCATCGGTGGATCGGTTGCAGGGAAGTAAGGGAACAATGGGGCCAGGTGTGAGGCCGGATTAGGATTCGGGCCTCACCCGTTCCTGGAAGCGAGACCAGCCCGGGGATTACATAGCTAATCCTTCTCAAATCTTCGCCTCGGAGGGCGTGGGGAGGACGGCCCATACCGCCCCCCGCACACCTGGACCGAAGCACAGGTTAAGCCCCCTGTTGTTTTCCTTGCGCAGGTTTGTCCTTAAGTTTCTGCTCAGTTCCACCCTCCCAGCTAATCTCTCCATTCATCTTTGATTCCCAACACCTGGCCGAGTGTTGAGAGCATAACAGCCCCATTGTGCACTGGGTGATTAACTTCGTGGTTCTGGAACCCAGGGGGCCACTCCGGCCCTCAGCCAGGAGCTGAGCAAGAGGATCCTCATCCTACAGCCATCCCTCCCACGGGACTCCAAGTGCCGACCATATCTCTGGACCCGAATAATTTTGTAACACGGGCCAGAGGGCACATGTATTTTGGTACCTTACTCTGCCAGGCCCTGTGTGAAGGGCTGGAGACACAAAGGCAATTAGGACACCACCCCTGCCTCGCCGGAGGTATACAGGGAACTGTGAACTCAGAAGTCAGGGTAGCCTAGTGTGGAGAGCGGCCACAGCGTTTGGACAGGGTCAAGCCTGGGACTAATGAGAGGGCACGATCCTCTCCTGGCAAAGCCACGTGCAAGCCCTCCCAGCACAATTATAGCCAAAGGCTATAGTTGTAAGCTCGACCTTATGATCGGAACCTGTGGTCCCACGTGGCTAAGTGATAAGGGCTGCGGGAGGTGCAGCAAGTAAACAAAGCTTGATCAGGTGCATGTAATTGAGTAGATTCGAAAGCTGGGAGAATGTAGTAACCACGCCCTTACTTTGCCTCATGGAGTCTGGCTATAAAATAAAGACTCGGTTTATAGGCTGTGGGGCTGTCTCCATAAAAGAAGCAGCGTCCCACCTAGACCCAGCTTTCTTCTCTTGTCTGTCTAAATCCTTCACCGCCCCTTCTCAGGTTCACCCATGGCCTTGCCCGCTCGGCACAGCCGCAGTGATGGCGAACCTATGACACACGTGTCAGAGGTGACAAGTGAACTCATTTTTTTGGTTGATTTTTCTTTGTTAAATGGCATTTAAATATATAAAATAAATATCAAATATATAAGTCTTTGTTTTACTATGGTTGCAAAGATCAAAAAATTTCTATATGTGACATGGCACCAGAGTTAAGTTAGGGTTTTTCAAAATGCTGGCTCGCCGAGCTCAAAAGGTTTAAAAATAGGCAGGGTCACGGGCACAGGCACAGGCATGGGAGGGACCTAAAAAAAAAGAAAAGAAAATGGGCAAAGGACCTGAACAGACACTTCTCCAAAGAGGATAGATGGCCAACAGACATGAAAAGATGCTCAACTTCACTAATCACCAGAAAAATGCAAATTAAAACCACAATGAGGTATCACTTTATACCTGTCAGAATGGCTGTTATCAATGTCAACAGCCCTAGCTAGTTTGCTCAGTGGATAGAGCATTGGCCTGCGGACTGAAGGGTCCCAGGTTCAATTCTGGACAAGGGTACATGACCGGGTTGCAGGGGCTCGATCCCCAGTGGGGATGTGCAGGAAGCAACTGATGGATGACTCTCTCTTATCATTGATGTCTCTGTCTCTCTCTTTCTCCCTTCTTCTCTGAAATCAATAAAAGTATATTTTAAAATAATAAAAATAAATTAAAAATGGAACTGCATATGACCCTGTGATTCCACTTCCAGGAATTTATCCAAAGAAATCCGAAACACTAATTCAAAAGAATATATACACCCCTGTTTTCATTGCGACATTATTTACAATAGTCAAGATTTGGAAGCAGCCCAAGTGCCCATCAGTAGAGGAGTTAATAAAAATGATGTGGTGCATTTACACAATGGAATACTACTCAGCAGTGAAAACAAAGGAAATCTTACCTTTTGTGACAGCATGGATGGACCTGGAAATTATTATGCTGAGTGAAATAAGCCAGTCAGAGAAAGACAAGTACCATAAGATTCCATTTATATGTGGAAACTAACGAGCAAAATAAACTAACAAAATGGAGACAGACAAGAGACTGACAGTTTCAGTGGGGAGGGTAGTTGGGGGCTGGGTGAGATGGGTGAAGGGATCAAGCAAAGAAAAAAATACTCATGGACACAGACAACAGTTGGCGATTGCAAGAGGGTAGGAGGAGTTAAAGAGGGTAAAGGGGATAAATAGTGGTAGGAGGAGACTCGACTTAGGGTGGTAAACACAAATACAATATACAGATAATGTATTATAGAATTATATACCTGAAACCTAATAATTAATAAAGTAAAAATAAAAAAGAAGCAATCAATGAATGCATATATAAGTGGAACAACAAATCAATGTCTCTCTAAAAAAAATCAATAAAAATAAAAATAATAGAAAAGTTAAGAAATGTTGTACAATAAAGAACTTGATTGTCTATGGTTCCTAAGAGGGAAATTCTAAATGCTTGGAATTTCCCTAGCTAGCAATAGAAGTTCTTTGTTACTCATAATGGGCCCTGATAGTTTATACTAATGAGATGATTAGATAGTTTATGCAAAGGAGAGTCAGGATGGGGGAAGGCCACATCAGAAAAAACAGCCACGTGATTAAACGGTTAGCACTTTGAGCCACTTGTTAACAAACCAATAAAACCCCAAACCGATAAAACGCCAAAATTCTGGACACTGAAGCTCAGGGAAACTTCTTGGTTGGTAAACACACTAATGTGCCAGGAGGGTGGAGCACCCTTACTCTCGGGGAAAAGGGCATGGACGACGTGCTTCTGGGATCCTTCCAGACCTTGCCGATGTATATTCTTACAATGAAATGGTAATCGTGAGTACAGCACTTCCCTGAGTTCTGAGAGTTATTCTTGCAATTACTGAACCTGTGAGGATGGCAGGAACCCCTGAATATGTGGACAGCCTGGGAACCCATGAGATTTATGGCTGGCATCTGAAAGTAGGGCAGTCTCATAGAAAACTGAGTCCTTAACTTGTGGGATCTGGTGCCAACTCCTGATGGTCAGCACCAGAATTGTATAGTAGTAGTATGTCTAGTTAGTGTTAGACCAGTTGGGGGTGAAATAGAATAAGAACCCATTATACTATCCCAAGTTCAAGGTGGTAGAGGGTCTGCACTAAGCTGGTAGAGGAAGAGTTCCCATCACAGCTCTTCAAAATCTGATGGATCCTCATGGAGAGGAAGAAGGCAGGTCATATTCCCAAGGGTAAGGTGGGGTTTTCTTCGGCTGCAACCCAAACTAGGATCCCTGTGTCGCCAACCCAGTTGGAATGTCCCCTGACCCTGTCCCTTCCCTTGGAACCTCCTAGAAGGTGCCACCAGGAGTTCTGAGGGGTCCCAGACTCCAAAGTGCCTTTTAATTTGGCTCTTTTCACCTGCTTTATTAGTCAAGGCCATTTCCTTATATATGAGGTATTTGGGAGTGGGGAGAGCTGTCTGTACTATGTTGGGAAAGGATCTAGGGAAGAGAGGTCGGGTGAAGACAAGGTCAGCAGAGCTAGGATTCAGTGGTCAAGGAGAACAGGCTGGCCTCTCTAGTGTCTTCTGTTGCCCTGGATACCTTCCCAGGGGCATCCCAGGATACTCCAGTGACTCATGCAGTGGGAAGCTAAGCCAGTCAACTGGTTAGACTGTAACGTTAGCAGTGCCCTTTCTTCTCAGTCTCCCCTTCTCTGCCAACCCCTTAAGTGGGGCATTACCAGGCCCTACACACTCCTCCTAGATAACCTCACCCATGCATATGCCGGTGCCTCCCAAACCCTCATCATGTCCACCCAAGATCTCTTTTTTTTAATGTTTAATATATTTTTTATTGACTTCAGAGAAGAAGGAAGAAGGAGATAGAAACATCAATGGTGAGAGAGAATTATTAATCGGCTGCCTCCTGCACACCCACCACTGGGGATCAAGCAGACAACCCCGGCATGTGCCCTAACCTGGAATCAAACCTGGGACCCTTCTGTCCGAAGGCTGATGCTTTATCCACTGAGCCAAACCAGTTAGGGCCCCAAGACCTCTTCTGCCTCCTGGAGGCCCCTAATTCATGCCCCACCAATGCCTCAAACTCAACACAACCCTAAGCAAAGCAAATCTTTCTCCCAAACACGAGCCATCTGCTGTGCTCCTATTACAGCTGATGAATTATCACCCACCAATGAACCCAGCAAGCAGACTGGGCATTGGCTCTTTTCTTTCTCTCCTCACATCCAGATCCTAAATATTCTACCTCCGAATGTCTCTCAAATCCTTCCATTTCTTTCCATATCCACTGCCACAACCCCAGTCCTGGCCAACATTATTTCTACCTGGATACTGCAAAGCCTTCTTATTGAATCCCCCACATCCTTTCCTTTCTCCTCTGTAGCTGGAGGGATCTTTCAAAAATGCAAATTGAGCCTGGCTGGCGTGGCTCAGTGGTTGAGTGTCGATCTCTGAATTAGGAGGCCATGGTTTGATTCCTGGTCAGGGCAGATGCCCAGGTTGCAGGCTCAATCCCTGGTGTGGGGTATGCAGGAGGCAGCCGATCAGTGATTCTCTCATCATTGATGTTTCTCTCCCCCTTCCTCTCTGAAACCAATAAAAAATATTTTTAAAAAAATGCAAATCTACATGTTTATCCTCTATATAACCCCCTTCAAATGGTTTCCCATTGCTCTTAGGATAAAGTCCAGATTCCTTAACATGCTGCTAGTGCCTGTCCCATTTATAGTGTTCCAGACAGACCCATGTTTGTTCAATTCCTTACTATCGCTCACTTCTGAGGCTTTGCAAATATTCTTTCCTAGGGTACCTTCCCTTCCCTTTCTTGTAATAATCTGCTACTCATTCCTCAGGTCTCAGCTAATCCCAGGAATCCTTCCTTGTTCCTAAAACTTTGGGCTGCATTCCCTGCTAAGGGCTCCCACGGGACCCTGAGCTTCCCCTAAAACAGTGGTTCTCAACCTTCTAGCCCTTGAAATACAGTTCCTCCTGTTGTGACCCAACCATAAAATTATTTTCATTGCTACTTCATAACTGTAATGTTGCTACTGTTATGAATCGTAATGTAAATATCTGATATGCAGGATGGTCTTGGGCGACCCCTGTGAAAGGGTCATCCGACCGCCAAAGGGGTCGCGACCCACAGGTTGAGAAACGCCGCCCTAAAAGATACTTCATTGAAATTCCTTGCTCCAGCCCATGTGGCTCAGTGGTTGAGCATTGAACTACGAACCAGGAGGTCGAGGTTTGATTCCCAGTCAGGGCCCATGCCCGGCGTTGTGGGCTCGATCCCTAGGAGGGGGCTTGTAGGAGGCAGCCAATCAATGTTCTCTTTCATCAT